TCGCAGATTTTACGAAGTTTCAAGTTGGGTTCCCCTCTTGATTCTGAATTGCAAATATGAATTTCATAGCAGGAAACCCGATAACAATATACCTAGCCCCATGAACGTGCCAGTTCGGAAAAATGACAAATTTAGCGAAGTAAGATACGCGCCTTCATCAGTTTTTCTCTAAAAGAAAAGTTAACACGTGCGTGTGTCCACGATGAAACGAATCTGTAGAATTTTTGACTCGGCGTAATTATGTTTTCAATTTTGTCTGCAAACTTTGCGGGGTTTGGGTTTTATGCAAATGTCCCAGCGCCTCCTTTGGCTCTACTTCGCCATACATAAATTTTCCATGATGATTGATTCACGCTACTTGAAATTCTATTGAACGCGATTACTGAATAAAGACTCCTACAAAACAACCATCTTACCTTGACTGAACCCTTCACCATGCGATGATATCCGGAGATCATTTTTGTAAGAATGTATGGATATCTGAAAAAAAATATTTGGTGCTTAGATTTGGACGCGACGGAATCTATCCAGCAACAAACTTCAAAAGGCGGGATGAGCAAGCAGCCACGATCTTCTCTGCCTTCCGCTTGTACTCGTCCGCTTCAAAATATTCATATAATCGAACCAGATTTCCAACGGCTACTGAGTTGGCACAAGGCTCCGCACCGTCCTGATCTAAACAGACATACATATTTATACAAATACATTTCAAAGTATATATTCAGTCATTCACCACGTGAAATGGCGTTTAGATTGACGATTAGGCATCAACTCACCTTCCATGATGCGCACTTTAACATCTCCTTGTTCACTTCCAATGAAATAACCAGACTCCGCTTCTCTGTCCCAAAACTTCGCATCCTGAAAAGCCCTACCTGTTAAGTCAGAATTTATTATATAAGACTTGTACTGATGGGACAAAAGCCATGATTAAAAGAAAAAAGTGACTCGATAAAAAAGTTTACACAAAAACTGTGTCGTTCTTCTGTGTTCCTCCTCCAACTCACAACGAAATGTCAGGGTCCCAAAAAATTTAAGTGTTGCTTCTGCCAGCACAGACTCACCATTTCATCCTGCAACCGCCGTGCCAATTTCAATAATTCCATTTCTGGATGCACTTGATATAAGTCGAGCAATCCTTGTATGAGGAAAGCATAGTCATCTGAGAATGCGTAAACAGGCGTGGTTCTGAAATTTGGATCGATATTTGAAAATATGCTGAGAGCCTTTTTACTCACAAGTTCTCCACACTTCCATCGTCTCCCCTGTAAGCCGCGCGTAGTAAACGACCGTCATGGTCCATAAGGTATTTTTTTATGAATTCGAAATTTTTTATGGCCCGCTCCAAATAAGCCGGATTCTCCAGGGCAACAGCTGCCTAAAAATATCTATTCAGATCTTAACTATACTCTATCACTTGAGTGAATTTGTAGGTAAAAATAGTGCACTTGCGACATCGAGACTTT